ATGTTGTGATAATGCGCTATACAAAAATAAATTTGTTTGTTGTTGTTGTATTTCGGAAGAATATTTGTAAGTGCCATAAACATCTATCTTTATGTAAATAAATACTGTAACATGCCTACAGTAAAAGGTCCATTTTCATTCTTCAGTACATTGTTCAGTGCCCCATATGCAGGTGCTGACGATATACAGGTACTGCTCCTTCTGCCTTCTGCTGAGTGTTTTTTTCGAGTGTCGCTGATGGTTCGCTACATTCTCCAAAGCACTGACTCACCTCACATCACCTCCTCTCACCTCAGCCCAAGTTTGAGGACTTTCTGCTTTTAAGTAGTTCACTCTCTTTATCTCTGATGTCATTCAACACACAAGCAATACAGAATTACACTTCCTCAGAGGGACTCTGGGTGACATCCGGGATTCTGATTTTCATTTCGGGAGACGTGACTCATCTCATCTCCAGGGAAGTTACTCTCCACATGCAAAACCAGCAGCAGGATGGTGCAGCGGTTAAATTAGCACGAATTTATCAAATCAAGCTCCAAAAGAGAATTATATCCCTGGTAACAACAGTTACCCTGAATTGTTTGATCATACATCCAGCTACATAATAATATGGCATTATCTAAGAGTTTAATTAATTATTAACAAATAAAATGGTAGCTTGGCTGGTGCTCTCCATGGTACTGAAGAGAAACAGTTTCCTTGCAACTTTGCGCTGAGCATTAAAACCTGTGACAGGTGCCTATAGTGTGTAAACTGAGCTAAGATGCGACTCTGTCGTCGGCCTCCAGGTCTGTCAACATTTACAAGGCTACAAACAGCAATGTAACCTTATGTGGTTTTACAGCCTAAGGCACCAGGTAGTTTTATGATCGCAGTTTTATTCTCATTGATAGTCATCGTAATTTCTTCTATCATAATGAGGAATCGCATAAAATATTGTTGCACATCATAAATCATAATAATAGCATATAAACATAGAGATTAGGAAAGTGCTCCACTGTCATGATAGAGCCGCCTTCACTCCAGACTAAAATGAATGCTCTACTATTTTTCTCACGCGTCCCATGGTGTTATTCCATAATGATATGACCACAATGAAGTTTGTAGCAATATCCACAAAGCAAGTGTTGTTGAGCAGTACGAAGGTCGCTGCTGGAATACGGACATTACGCTCTTTTTACTGCGCATAGGAAATGCTAAAAATCAGTCTAATTTACTGTGGATTTCAGATTTATTCCATTTGTGCGCACTGTTTATTATAATAATAATTATATTAAGAAGAAGAAGAAATAGAAGACGACTAATAATAATAACAATAATAATAACCATTGTAATTTTCATTGTAATGTGTCTTATCTCTGATGACGGACTGTGCCCGACACCCAACTGCTCGCTCTGTCACATCGATGACGCAAACGTATTTTCACATCAAGTGTAACATATAGATTAATTCTGGATTCATGTAAATTTATTAGTGAAAACGTGTAGGTTACTTTCACTGCGGTAACCAAAACTGTAAAATTGATGCGCATGAACCTTTTAAAGCACGGATTGTTTTCGACAGGAGAATTTCGGCGCGTTAGAGATGTTCCCAGAGGTTCTAGCCGCACAAATGAGCGTGTAATGTTTTTACATGTAAAAAAGCAAAGTGCGCTCCACGTGAACCTCGTCGCCAATATGAAAATAGAGAAAACATTTTCCTTAACAGGTAGATTACTATTTTTAAGAGGCGCATCGGTTTGAAGCCGCACGACGGTAATAAGGGAGGTGGCAACTGTTACGGAAATGAAGGCATGGTGGACGCAAATGGAAAGAGCACATCGATTTAAGATATTAAGTCTTACCGTATCTGCTAGACATCCCAAGCTGGTACCAAATGGTCATTAAACACAGAGCACTCCATATCCGCGATCGCTTCATGTTACCTCCGTTGTAGGATAGGTGCCACGGGACACACCTTTATTGATGCCGATTTTCACTCCGGTCCAAACATTAATATTAGTAAACAGGTGTCAGAGGCTACTTGAGCTTGGTGCTGGCAAGGAAAAATCTGCAAGAATCCGCTACACTAGTGTGTGTGGATGAGAACTGGGGGGAGCGGAAAGGTGACATGCAAGGAAGCGAGGGTACGGCGCTGCGGATCAGCAGCAGGGATCTCCAGCAGCATCGCTTTCCATCTTTTTTCGTAGCTGATCCCTATTCGGCGGAGACCCGCAATGACGTCACCACCACAGGAAAGCGATAATGAATGGAGTGGGGAGGGTCAGATATCGTACTGCGATTGCGATGGGAACGCTCACTGAGGCAGAAGCATGTAGGCAGAGGGATGATAACTCCATATTTGCATAACACAGGTGATTGAACCTGGGGAAAACACGCAATTGGTCTTTTGCAGTCGTAGCTTGGCAAGACCTTGCAGCCAAGATTTCAGACATTGAAGGGAATACATGAGACAGCTGACGTAGAGAACCAGATGCAGAATAAAATTTTGAGTAACATTTGAATACTCTTAGTCTGTAATTCATCAGACTTCATGTAATAGTAATTGGATATTACTGATGTTTTTATAGATACTCATTCAGCCAAACGACTGAAAGGGACAGTGACGCAGGGATAGAATAAATATCGGTAAGTTAGAAGTAGAAAGTACTGGAATTATGTGGTGCATTTCGGTTCACCTTACTGATTCATTCGCGTTCAGAATATTAATTATTTCTTAATTTCATTAGTTGTCTAGACTAGAGGTTCCCATGCAACCCAGGGTCCGCAGACACCCCCACCCCCCCAGACTGATATATACCCAGCTCCTTCAATTATATATGGTTTTTATTTTCATTTAATTTTTATTTTCAAAATACTACTATATAATTCAGCCTAGCATAATTTGCTAAAACCAGAATTACGTTCAAGCTTGCGTTTTCAAACCACCTGATTAGTTGTCTGGGTGGGCGCGAGCGTTGCGTTATGTGTGGTGGAGTTGGCAACTTTCCCGCGGTATTTCAAAAAAGGTAGCTAGATTCGTTTTTCTACTTCTTAACAAAGTGAACATCCGAAAAAGGATTTTAGTTGCATATGTTTATTAAACGAGGCTTCTCCAGAGCGTTGTATGGGTGACATGACCTGGTGATTGCTTAAAACGCTCACTTTCTTTATGTCGGTAAAATTTGTTGTCTGTTGAAATCAAGTTCAGAGAGTTACTATCATGTGGTGGTGTGTGGATGGTACGTGTTTCCTGGGGTTTAATGTTCTGTTAGTATTTGTGCCTGCAGTGTTATTGATGCACAGGTTAATCAATTGAAAAGCTCTGCCCAGTGAGCATAATTTTTTTGGGGTCAAGTGACCGCCCCCTCTCTGCATTTCAATTGCCCCACCATTTTCCATTGATGCTGGCTCTGTCCTTCATGTTCAGTTTTGGTCCTTGCCTAGCGTCCTAGGGCGAGCATCACCGCCGGTGGCCCCCCCGTCTGAGGCAAAGTGATATTGGTTGGCAGTCAGGAGGCCCTTTGAGCCGCTTAAGTCACCAATAGGACTGACTGGCCCTGGTTCTGATTTCATGTGGAAAAAATGGAAACAGTTAGGAAAAATTAGGAAATTGCTGATTGATCTGCCAGTACCCTCGGGCTGTTTTTCCTGTCTGTGAAATTTTCTTGGTTGGGAATCCTGTGTTCAGATGATTCTTTCAGTACTCGATGTGGTACAGTAACATGCCCGGGCCGCTGACTGTATACACTCACCTAAAGGATTATTAGGAACACCT